CTAATTATAACCTTCTGAATGCTTACATTAAAATTAAGTGAACAAACTTCTACGGCTAATTGAAACTACTAATATATTCCACTGATTTCGAGGTTCTGAATGAAGCTTAATAGTTATTATAATTATATTATAGTTTAAAAGAGTATTATTTTATTAATTCAATTTAAGTAGATAATTTTGCTTTCCATCGTGTTGTCTTAATCTGTGGTGTTGTGTTAATAAACTGCATTGAAAATAAACTTTTGTGCACAGGCTGTCAATCAAAGTTATTGATATTTTTGATACATCTGTTCCGATAATTTTTATAATGTCAAAAACGTTATCATTAAAAATATACAGGGTGATTTGCGGCCATGGCACGTTAGGCGTTTATGAAGAAGCGGTGATGGAATTTTTTTAAAAAATTGGATTTTTGCATTAAGGCACCTGCTCCATCTATTTAAAATATTTTCCGCATTACAGTGTTGCTGCTTTATACTAAAATTATATATACTTATATTATTGCATTATAAAAACTACTTTTATATCATATAATTTTTCTATTATGCTAACGTTTACCGATCTCTATTAGTTTTTTTCTCTAATATTTATTTTTGTTTGTAATAAAATCGCTCAAATCATTATTAAATATTTTAAATACAAGCCTATGTATACAGGGTGAGTTTTCTACGATGTTCTCTATGGGTATCTCGGAAACTACTGGAGATAGAGAGTCGGTTAAATGGGGAAGTATTGCAGTTTGTGGGGTCATAAATATGCGCCTTTCAGATTTTTGAGAAAGTTCATGGCTTACTAGATATTTCGAAAAAAAAACAAATTTTGGCTATTTTAAAAATTGTCCCTAATTCCATTATAATCTATTTTAGACAAAAAGTCTTCAGATAAAAGTTGTAGATAATCACATCTCTAGTGAGTTTGCGTTATTTTTGACATATGACTTAAACGATAGTTGGCCATGACTTCATAAAAAGCGCCATTTAAGTTATAATATGTTTTTTTTCGAAAAATTACTGAGTTTTAGCCAATTCTTATCATTTTTAAACAATTTCACTTAGTTAGCCATGGAAAAAAGTTCAAACGTCGTTGCTCTCAGAAATGTGAAACTGTTACATCCAAACTTTGTAAATTAAAATAAACAAAAATTGTAAATATAAATTTTTCAAATAAAGAAAAGCGTGTAATATTATTGGTTCAACTTTTCTTGGCCATACATTTTCGACGATACGTTTACTGGTGAACGTTACTTACGTTTTTTTGAGAACGGTTTTCAAGACATGTTAGAATAGTTAATTTTAGATACTATAAATAATAGACTCGCGCACCAATAGAGTGGTTCCAGCATAACTTTTATTATGACACCCTGATAATGAAAGAAATGTTAAAAAAACTTATGTTATAATGATACAAACTCAGAGATGTGAAAAGATGGACCAATTGCATGGGCCTCCTCGATCACCTGACCTATCCATTTTAGACATTTTCATGCCGTATGGTTGCGTTTGTATAGTTAATAACAAAGTTTACAAAAGAATGAAGAATGAAGAATGATTAATGAATTAAGAAAGGCACTTGAAGAGGCGGTACTGATTTCAAGATGCTAAGATGCTACCGATTTCAAATAATGCAGCAACACTGTAACTCTGAAAAGATGGAGCAGGTGCCTTTATGTAAAAATCCAAATTTTCAAAAAAAATCATCGGTTCTCTATAAACGTCTAATGTGCCATTGCCGTGAATCACCCTATATAGATCATACAACTTAAATCCTAATAATAAAAAAGATAACAGCTTACTAACATTGATCAGGTGTAAGTTGCTATTTGAATCTATCTATTAATTTCAGAGGTATTGTTCGAATTGCTGACCATTGTGTTTTACTCGTACTTGGCGTAACACTTGTAGTCTGTGTTAAGTAATTATTATCAGATAGTAATTGTTAATTTGATGTTTGACTTCATGTAAGTTGGATCAAAGCAAGTCAATGTATATGGTAAATTTATCCTTTATACAAGTGTATGCAGGGTATAACGGGATAAATTTGATTAAATTATCCTGACTCTGTGTATTATCTCAAGTTTTCTAGGAAAATTTTACGATCAAACAAAATCGACATAGTGCATCGACTGTACATACGTTTAACAGCCCAAATAAATTGTGCAATAGAGGTGAATAAAGATTGAAAAAAAAAGAAATATGTAATAAACAGTATAGAAGTGGTATTATAATGTACCTCACGTACACCCAACCGCAGGCAAAGTATACTTTGTAATCGCTGAAAAGACAACGAAGACAAATGGAGGAATGTTAAATTTCGTGTATACAAACTAAGTGGAGGAGTGAGTCTATGGGGGTGGTGGAAAATGAATATTGATGAGACGTTCGGATCTTTGTCACCAGGACGAAAAATATTTGCCAGTGTCCCTTGAATGTTATTAGATTTTTGAGTAATATATCGTTGTCCAATGCTGTATTTATGTCTTCTTATAATATATATTCGTGTTATGGAAAAATTGTTGTAAGAGTTGGTCTAAATACATCCAGATATTCGTGAATACTAGTTAGTGCAGAAGTCTAACATGTGTTTAATGGCACTCTCGAGTAAGTCTGAGATAGTTTCCTTAAAATTTAAGTAGCTTACTTTTAATATATTAAATTTGGAGGTGTGTACAGTGTGTTTCGAAAAACATGTGCCATTTCTCGTATGAGGGTTCCTCATGTAAAAATAAGATTAATATTTTATATCGACATAGGTCCGATTTTGCTTTATTTCATAGCTACAACTCTTCATTTTTTTTATTTATTATAATTTTCTTCCAAGTACTTTCAGCGATTAGAATGAACTTTTGAGATTAGAAGTTACTATAAGTGCGAGATATTTAATGCTAATAAAAATGTCGACAGATTCGCAAAAAACCTACAGAGGGGTTATCACTATAGAAGAGTTTTCTAATTAAAACATGTGTGCCAGTGACATTTTCTCTTGTTAACAAAATTGTGTAGACTGTTTAATGCCGATTAAAAGTTGTCTCTTGATATTTTGTCGATTTCGGCCTCCATGATGAGATAAACGCCATTTTATTAATTTGCCTTAATCCAAGGCTAATAGCACCCTTTCAATTTTTTTTATGTCATTAGGTGGGCAAGGTGTTAAATTTCTCATTGATTCCTCATAAAAAAATATGAAAAAAAGTTCCTATGCACATAAGTGCAAAAATACAGTACGTTAAAACTTTTAAAAATAAATTTTTTGTAATTATCTTAAATACCAAAATTTATTTTTGAATTTGTTGCATTGAACCCGGGGGGGGGGATCAGTGTTATAAATTTTAATAATAAATTAAATTAAATAAATAATTTATTAATTTTATTTCAATTTTATTAATTGTGATTAATAAAATTGCGTTTAATTCATCGTGGGGATCAAAATCGACTATTAAAATATGTAAAAATTATAGTAAATTTTACCCTCAAAATTCAGTTCAACTCACTAAAAACATTTGAAAGGAAATTGTAATAAATCGAAAAAAAAAGAAATATACAGAGTGGTCCGAACTGTATTCCGGAAACTTCAGAACCATATTCTGCAGATAAAAATAATTAAAAAAGTTCGTATAAATGTATGCCCTAAAATGCTTAGTTTCAGAGATACAGGGTGTAGAAGTTTCATTTTTACTTCGATTTTTTGTAAATAATTTCTGAAGTAACCTTAATATTTGGATGAAAATTGGTATCTGGGAGTTTTTTAACATGAGAAATTTGATTTTGATGTCAATATCACTCCTACTAGTAGAGGGCGCCACCTACATGTGTTTTGACTGTTTTGAAGCGTCATAACTTTTTGTCCGTACCTGTATAATAGTACCGAGTGAAAAAATATACATCTCTGTGACTTTTTACGTAAAAAATATCTCTTTGTAAAAATCGCTACGAGCAACCGTTCTCAAGATACTTAGAATGGAAAAAGTCAATACATGTCATTATTGACGAAAAATAAACACGTTGAGTAGATAGTTATTTCACTGAAATAATAAATTTGGGAAACTTTTATTTTTTTAAATTAATCATAAATTTTTCTGCAAAAAATGACGATAAAACAGTTTCTGTTAAACTTTTAGCACAAAAACATTTCAAATTTATGATTTCAGTCTAATAACTATTTAGTCAACCATGTTTAATTTATGTCAATGATGACAGGTATTGATAATTCGATTCCAAATATCTCGAAAACCATTACTGGTAGCGATTTTTACCAAGAGATCTTTTTCACGAAGAAAATGTCGTGAATGTATATTTTTTTACTCAGTAGTTTTATACAGGTACTGACGAAAAGTTATTACTCTTCAAACCAGTTAAAAAATATGTAGGTGGCGCCCTCTACTAGTAGGAGTCATATTGACATCAAAATCAAATTTCTCATGTCAAAAAACTCCCATACACCAATTTTCATCCAAATATTGATGTTAATTCAGAAATTATTTGGAAAAAATCGAAATAAAAATGAAACTTCTACACCCTGTATCTCCGAAACTAAGCATTTTAGGACATACATTTATACGAACTTTTTTACTTATTTTTATCTGCAGAATATGCCTCCGAAGTTTCCGGAATACAGTTCGGACCACCCTGTATATAAGATTTTAACTCTCTGTAGCTACGAAACAAAACTGAATCAGACGTATGTATAAATCATAGTGGGATCATAAAACACTTGATCAAACACATGTTAGAAATTATCAAAAGATAGAAATATACTGTAAAAGTTCAAATTGAAGTTAATAAAAACATGTGAATATTTTGTAAGACAAATTTGACAACTAAGCGTGGTTAGACACATCGAATATCACAATCAGCACATATATGAAACATGGAAAAAGCAAAACTGATTTAAGCAGCACTGAAAATGTTGAGGTGGGTGCAACACGAAAGCTACAGTATAAAACTCTTATTCAAAAACCAATGGCTTTCTATAGAGTCGTTTAAGTATCATAAAGAAATACGTACGTGCTTTCTGAAGGTACTATTTGTTCCCCTACGAGTCTCTGCGGTACCGGCGGAGGTGGATATGGCTCTATAAAAGGTTGTGTATGATATAAACCTGTTAAACAAAATCACAAAAAATATTTCAATTTTTAAAAACATAACATTAATAGAATAATTGAAATATACCTGGAAGAAGTTCTTCACTTGTTTCTACTCTAAAAGGACAGGTGATTCCTGTAGAACAAACTTGGGTGGATTCTGGTCTAAGTTTTTGATCACATAGATTGCTAAGCTGATCATCTGAATTTCTGCATTCTACACCCCTTGTTTGTATGCCTTCTCCGCAAGACACTGAGCACTTAACAAAAAAAAGTGGGTGACTATGATTTTAGGTCTAATTAATGTACTACAATATATGATCGAAAAAAAGGCGTTGGTGATGGCTATACAGGGTGCTACAAATTCGAGGTGCGAGCATTGGTATCTCGGAAACCGTAATAGATACGAAGATGGTTAAATTGGTGCAAAGTTGCGCCTTGGGATGTTCACCAAGATGCAATCAAAAAAGTTTCAAAAATTTCAAGGATTGCTGAGTTTTTTTGGATAAAACGGATTTTTTTGAAAATCAATTTTATTTTTTCCTATCGTTACTTTTTAGAAAATCAAAAAACTAATTACACATTCTCACAGTCACTTTATTAGGGCTATCTAACGGTATTTTTAGATTTTCAAATTAGCTGATAATTTGTGAGATACAGAGGCCAACTTAATTTTTTTAAATAGGGACCGGCATTTTTTATTTCATGTTTTGAAAGAATTCGGTCTTCTGAGTACAATGATATGTCACACTTTATACTTTTTTGTTTTGGGTACCTTAACAACTACAAAACTATTTAATTATATTATTTAAAATAATTTAAAGTCCGACTCTGGTTTTTAAATTATTTAATCTGATTATATTAATCGAAACAGTATTAATCAGCGCTAATTATCATTGAATAAGGAAAATCCAGCCAATTGAAAGATAAAGATTCCAATAAATAATATCCAGGTCAGGCAATTTAAAGATATTATTTTAAATTTTTGTATTGTGGATTTGAAATCTCAATGTACGATCTAATAATATGCATCATATTAATCGTAGTTACCCGTAATGCAATTCCCCCGCTTCCCCGCCCCTTGGCGACAGGTCCAGGAACCTCGCTGGCTATTATACTGATCTATCATTTCAAATTCATCTTCCGGGAAAATGAATTGATTGTTTATATTATATTTATATTATTTATTGCATTTGTATATTGTTTTATTGCATTTGAGTTTCCGTATTCAATATTTTACACGTCATCGTGGGGTAAAACATTGAATTGTGGCTCGGCGGAAAGACGGTTTCTGGACGAAGCATCAAAGAAACATAATGGACAAATTTTCAAATAACTAACAAACCGCATCGACGCATCAGCGCATAGTGAGCTTTACTCAAATTAAGAAAAGGTGTGATTTAAATAGTGCTATAAGTAAATAAAGGAATGACTTTTTTACGATCTATTGAAAAACAGTACAGAAAAACTGTATTACGATATCGCGCAAACTACGACAACTCAGTAAAAACCAAAATATGTAGAATATCTTACCCCGGACCATTTGGTAGTCGCCCACGTAGGGCAATCCATTTGATTGCAGGCCTCTTGGAACCAAGGCTTACGTCCGCCGCATTTTGAATCCTCCACCTATAAAATAAAATTTTATCTTACTAATTTGTTCGTCTAGCCGAACTTGCCCCGACCCATATCCATATCCGTTGGGAAGGGAGTTTAGGACGTAGTAAAATTGCTTTGAAATTGACGGGATTCCTTTTTACGGAAACTTGAACCAATATAATACGAAAAATGTCGACTACATTTACAGTAAAGTAGATGTAAAATAAAACAGATTATGGCTGGTTTTCGAAATAACCATACCATCGAAAACGACTTATTCCGATTAGCAAACATATGAGGCGTCAAGTTGCAAAATCCGCCTTATCCTTGAAAATGACTTAATAACATAACTATATATTAATAGTAGACCCTAAAATATACATAGTCCCAAACTGCAGCAAAAGTCGCCTATTCTTATATAAAATTCACTACAAATTACGTTACTGCAGCAAAACCCGTTTTATCAACTTATATTTGCTTTTTATTGTCATTATTGTTGCACATGCCGCATTTTTTCATATGCTTTTTGCCACAAGTATTATATTATCCCCGAAATGTTTTACGAAATATTTCTGGAAATATTTCGTGAAACTTTTCGCAAAACATGTCTGGAAATAATCTCAGAAGTAAACTCTAATATAAGCCCGTGTTATAAAAATTAGTTCCCACGTTTCCTGAAATAGATCGAGACACGCCGTAATTGGTTGTTTGTTAATCTGGGTTAACAGTAAAAAATATATAAACAAACAGCCACGGCGCGTCTCGATCCCTTTCAGGAAACGTGAGAATTAATTTTTTAACACGGGCTTATATTTATCGTACTAGTCTAATATGGAGAGATAGGAGGACGCAATCAATTTCAAACGTCGTGGTGGCTGCAGAAAAGTAAGTAAACATGGAATATGAATAAATATCACTATATAGCTATTCCTCTAAGGTTACATAAGAATATTTAGTTTTAGTCATTGTCTAACATTATTAATTAGAATATAGTAAAAAAATATATTTCGAAAACTTAAAATCGTAAAGCTGCAAGGCAATATGCAGTGACTAACTGTTCTGGCGGTTCGCCTTTTATAGGTTATGTTTAAACTATTTAAAAAATCGTCTAATTATTTCCTATTTTTGAATGGATTTATAACAAGCCATGTTATTATTATATATGTATAAATTATCTTTTATTGACATCGGATCAATCAATAATTTTCCCAATCAACTGGATACTTTGATGATGTTGCGTTGCCAGTATTACTCATCAATCAATACTACTGTTATATTAATCAATTAAGGCCGCGTAAACAAACATAACATATACAATTTTATTTACTAATTGCATTCAATAAACATATTATAATTATATTCCTGCAGATTGAGTGAAAAGTTTTGTTCTTAAATATCTACTCTACATATTATAAACACGTGTTCAAATATTAATCTTGTGGAATAGATATCAACATAAAACGAGATGTAGTTAACGAAATATCATCGTAACAACAGCTATTTTAGAAATGTCTAGGTTTGCTTATTTCATTGAGATTTATGAAAAAAGTTCTTTGCCTCGGGTACAGATACCGCCACGTTTTGGAAATAGTTCAAAACGAAACAAAATTGAACATGGCAACAGGAAACGCCAAAAAAAAAACCACGCCCTCCTCACGAGTGATTTTCAGGCGCTTTTTAGAATAGAAAGTACGTCGAGGTCAAACATGTCAGGATTTTTAAAGTGTCCGGGGCGGTCCGGTCCGGTTTTGGAAAAGCGTCCGGGAAATCTGACCGTGAAAACAATTTAACTTAGTAAAATATTTTACGAGTTAAAGTTGAATTATTTTTTCAGTTACTTTGTTGAATATTTTAGTCCCTCCGATACCACAGCTCTACTAAACCGACGCATGTTTGAAAGTACCCATTTCTACGGCGAGGAGATGTTGTTTAATTTAAAAGCACTGGAATTGATATTAGATATTTTATTGTAACCAAATTATAAATGTTTAACTAGCTAGAATGCTAAATAAAGATATATTTATTATTTCTATTATTTGGCGCTCAAATTTTTCGCTTTTGGGGCACTCCTGAAAAATTAATGCTTTTTGGTTTATATTTTGTTGATTCTGGGGCTATTATTTCCGTCCTGTTCATAAATAAATATATAGTTTCTTTTTGCGACGTCCGCATTTTGTCCGAATTTCAGAGTTCATTTGTCCGGATTTTGTCAAGATTTCTGAGTTCACTTGTCCGGAATTTCCGAAACCCTAGATTCAAGTTAAAATGTGTGACTCAAAGAGGGAGAAACGCAAAAGACAGGCAAGGAGACACCGTGCTATGTAATTGGCAAGTACAGGAACGTTCTGATTATGGAGGTATAGCGTTCCGACTATTAGGGTGTTCCGATTATTGGGTGTTCCGGTTAATGTGTGTTCCAATTAAGGAGGTTGCACTGTGTATGTTTTGGTAGACCTATTCTCTATTAATATTTTAAGATACAAATTGAATTTTTTGTTCGGTATAGACAAAAATGCAAATAAATATGATGTTTTTTATTTATATTTAGATATTGTAGAACAAATAAACCACCAATATAAATATTCAAATGCAAACAGACTATTTCAATATAAAATCCGTCCATTTTTTACAATTTCTTTATGGGGACACGCTTTTATGATTTTTGCAAAGTGGTATTGTCGCACATATAAATAGAAGCGCCCTCTATTCGATTTTCTGGCGTTATTTTTGATCTAGCAAATCAGTTTACGCTTTATTTGCGTTCGCCTTTATCGTGTTACGCGAACGTGCCATCCTCTAGTAACGCGTCGACAAATACAGGGTGGGTTGACTTGGTTAGAGGGTCTTGGAAAGAATTAAGTAAATCAAAAATGTTTTTTTTTTGGAATAATGCTCAGACACGCCGAGTAGTAAAAAATGCACCATTTTTGTTGTAAGAAAACTTTATATAGCCGGTCCAACGTGCCAGGGAAGATTTAGACAGACATAAAAAATTAAGGAAAATAAATTTACCTGTGAATTAAAATGACAGATATATCTGTTACTGGCATCTGTCACTGGCACATCAACAAGTTTTTCAAATTGCAACTCAATTTTTTAACACATATTCTCATTATGTAATTTAAAAAATAAATTTAGCGTTAAAGCGTTGATTGAAAGAATTGGGAAGATACGCAACCTAATGGGCGAATTCGTGACAAGGCTAATTTGATTTCCCCTTACGTTTCAAGTGCTGTACGGTGGAGAAACCGATCGTTCTGCGGTCAACGCATAAAACACTTATTTTCTCTAATTCCGCTAGCGAAGGCATATCGGAGACGGTGTGGAACTGAAAGCGATAGTGTTGCTATATTAAAATGTGTAATATATGTAAGTAATACGATTGACGAAAATATCTTTGGATGAAAAATCCGCGTTTATGTATTGAAAATTTATCCCTGTTAAACATAAAATAAACAACAAAAATAAAAATTCTTTTATAGGTACTGAATATGCTATATATGCTATATATAATATGATCGAAAAAAGTCGTTTAGTTGGCGTGGAAATGATTATTGACATTTACCATAATATTTTACATATGAAATAACAGGTGCCCGGTGGCGTAGAAGTACAGCTCTCATCTACCAATCTCAAGGTTGTGGGTTCGAATCCTACAGCAGGCATTTCATCAGCCGACTATTTTTAATAAAATAAAAATAGTTTGGGTAACTAGGTCGACTCAGCCTTAAATGAGCACTTCGGATTCACAATCCTGAAGTAATAAGAGGCGGTTGAAGCGTAGTGCTAGCCACATTAACTTTCTTGTGTACCGAACGGCTCTAGCATGACAAGCTGTACCTTACTACTCCCAAGGCGTTAAACGCTATATACGGGAGCTATTATTATTAAATAACAGCGATCTTCATTTCCAAGCCAAGAACTACGGTCTACTACGGTACAGTATTCTTTATCCGCTGCGATGTAAACGACTACAAGCGCAGCGGCGCAAAGTTAAACTGAATCTCGGAACTCTCGGACAGGCTGACGGTAACGTCAGCTACATCTCGGACAGATTCTGTGTCACGAAATCGCTCATAAGGCTGCGCATCTTCTTATTTCTTAAATCAACGGTAATAGTGTTTCTTCAATAAATTCTTAAAATGTTTGCCACGTGGACGGCAATTCCTCTACATTGATGTTCTCTTTCTTGCAGCTGGGCAACATATTTTTTCGCTTTCACTTTTATAAGAATAAAAACAATAAGTTACACGTTTATGTAACTTTATGGACTCTTAATAATAGCCACAAAAATTAGTGGTGCCATTTAAAAAAAGTCATAGTTCAACAGTTGAGTACCTAGCACATTTTTAAAAAACATTATCTTATATTTACTGCATTTTTTATTACTTATAAGTTAGAGAGTCACCTTGTATAGTAAAAGCGCACAAAAGAGTCCTTTATGCAACGTAAATTTAAAATCGGATCTGTTCGGGTCGTTTCGCCTTTCCAAAAATTGTCACCAAATTAAATAGTTCGTTGGAAATGGTGTAGATCGAATAGCAGAACATGAGTGGCTAATTTTAAAATCACAATGCTACTGGTAAAAAACGAAAAAGTTTCAAATTAACTGTTCTCTGATGTGCTCAGATCACGACGGAGAGGGCTGTATCACACCAAGCTATATTTTGAATGTTTAAAAATCCCTTCATTGCAAAATAAAACACTAATTCACCAAAATACACCAAAAACACTTTATTTTTAAACTAGACGCACGTTTAGCTAACCGTTTAACTAAACTAATATCTACAAATTGAACGTTCAATTAGGCGCTCAGTTGGCGCCGACTAGGCGTGACCAATGAGTGTTGAACATAAGATGACTAGTTTAAATTTTTTAGTTCATAGATTACTTTTTGTACTTTCTAAATTAAAAATGAAAGTTGCCATCTGTCAAATATACGAAGGAATACAAAATGTTGAGATTTTGGTGAAAGTTTGGAATACTCTGTGGAGTAAGTAAACAGAACAAGGAATTAGAAAATCATTTTA